CCCTTATATATATGCATAAATATACATATATATGTATATATTTAATTAAACAAGATTCTGTTGGTTTGCCAAGCAATTGTAGTTTTAATTAATTTTCCAGATGTGCGTAGAATGTTGTGTTTTTTATATAGAAAATAATTTGGCAGAAAAAGTAATATAAAGTTGAAGCCATACACATACATTTTTATTTGCTGGTAAAATTGAAAGTAGGTCACTGTGATAGTTACATATAAGAAAATGTGTCAGCAAGCTTTAGGGGAATAATTTTACTGACTTTAGTCACAACACCAATAATGATGCCAAAATAAATGTTAAAAAATAATGTAAAAGAAATATCCTGAAAATAGTTAGTTTCTTATTCACACTTAATTTTTCCATCAACACCTTTTTCTAAAGTTTTTTTGCTACTTTTAGTGTGAATCTATATAAAGTTTGTAGTTAGAATCTCCATCTAAAATCATAGGAATAAAAAAGGCTCAGCCGGCAAGCTTATTACCATCTCCCTTTATGTTTACTAATTTGTGGTTAGTTGGGCCAGCGAAAAGAGACTGAATTTCCTGTCCGGAAGGATACTTTCTCTTTGTATGTTATCGTAGTTGCATATTCCTTCCCTTCTCTCATCTCTATCCGTTCTTATAATATCGGTTTAGATGGAAATGGTATCCTCCTTATTAATCTTCTTCCTTCTCTTAACCATATTGGAAGAAACCTGTATGAATAATTTTCCTGAATTTTTCTAGCCTTAAAAAGCTGCTGAGACCAATTGGCTTTAGCCTTTAGCAGCTTGACTCAGTGAACCACATTTTGGATTTTGCTGCAAAGTTTCATATGTTTAACTAAATCAGCAGCTGATTTAAAATTATATTGATAAAACACAGATTTTCCCATTCGCATGGAAATTTTTTTTTTTTACAAACATTTTCTATTAATCAGACTTACAGTTAATTACAAAAATTCTCAAGTCCTACTTAGATTATTAATCAATTCATTCTGCTGTATATATTTTCATGCCGGCAAATTACTTCTATCATTTCCCATATAGGCAGCAATAAATCTAATTAGCCTAGCTAATGCATTTTATGCGGTTTTAACATTGGCTGTGCAATTTAACTGACCCCTTTACCGTTCTATGACCGCATTTCGGTGTGGTAGCGCAATCACAGCTACCGCTATTGCATATTCCATGCTTAAGGAGGCACATCAGCACAAATATATGGTGAATGTGCAGAGTATTTAGAAATTCTTTGGATTATAGATGGCCACTGAAGTGAATATTTATTATTCTACTGCAAGCAATTAAAATAATAGGCATATTAGAATCTGACAATAGAAGAAAGATTATTGCGAAAATTAGTAAAATGGATATGCAAGTAATTGCCGTTTTACAGGTCGCTTAAAAGCAAAATATGTATTTATGTATACTTCAGCAAATATTTTATTTTTTCCGGCATATGTTGTGCCAATAACAATTAAGAGAACTTTCGAATGTAACGAAGTATTTATTCCACGACAAAGCTTCTCGTACGTTCAACATCGTTGTCGCATCATAGAGGTAACACGCATTTGGAAATTAATTGTCGATTTTCAAAACGAATATAACTATACTACCTTACCAGTGCGAATTATTAGAAGCCAATATTTTGAAATGAAATGGAAATAAATTAAATAACTCAGGCTCTAACTTCTTGACATCCAGTGGTTTAGTTTTGGAGAAAAGTCGCTTCTACAGCAGCATAGAGTAGCTGATGCATTCTATATACATCTTTACATATTTGGGTTCCAATAAAGCTGTCAAAAATCACTTTTCAAAAGGTACCTTATGTCCCCTGGTTTACAATTCGTCTTTCCAGTATAAATAGACGGTAATTCTAGATACTTGTCCACAAGATCATGCAGAGTGTTCAGAAACTTCCCCTGAATATAGGGTTTCATGTCGACAGCAAAGGCTATATTCCAAGCTTCTCTTCCTATTCTTCCTTGGACAGAGACATTGCTGCTCCCACCTACTACTTCTTCTGTCGCAGATCAAGCGGCAAATCAGCTTAAAGAAGACGCCATATATTACTCTGCGGAAAATAGGAGGAGAAACAAGAGTTTACGGGTCTATAGGGGCAGCCAATCTTCACCTAAGGCATTGACCAGCTTTCTGACTACTTCAAAACTAGTTCGACAATATAAGTCTTGACTAAATTAATGAGATATCTGACCATTTGAGTAGAGGAGCTTCAGTCTAGGCATTACTCGGTGAGCAACTAGTTATATCACTCTCATATTAAGGCACTGAAGCGATTGTCCAAAACTAAGTGAATATTTCGCTCGGCAATTACTGGGAGGCTTGGACGCACTGCAGGTGAGCAAAGCTTATGTTGCCCTTAATCTCAGAGGGTCTAGCTAGGTATTTTCTTTCATTGAGTAAATAGGACTGATGAACTGGTCAGTTCTAATGGCGTAAAAACTTGACTTTGATAGACAACCCCATTTGTCCTTCCTGCCTTGAAGAGAATCAGACCGCTGAAAACTTTTATGTTCTTCTGCCTGCATTTGCAAGGATTAGGTATGACATTTTTGACAGCAATATTTTTCGTTTTTGGTTTTTTTATTCGTGGATAGTACAGATTGAAAACAGAATAAAATAGAACACCGAAACCATAAAATGGACGGCGTGTAGTCTGAGTATTCTCCAATGCAGGTGTTGGTTAGCGTTAGTTCCAACAAAAAAGTCGTTTTCGAATCCGTGCTTTCTAAGAGCGGAAAGAAAGCGTCAATCACGAAGCTTTTGCAGTGAAATAGCAAGAGAACTATTGCCTTAAAAGCTATATCCAAATTAAATTTAACTGATATCTAATTAGCTAAAATTTGCCTGTATGAATCAAAGCCTTCCCATGCCTTACTATTCATCGATTCTACGCTTCCATTTTACTTGTTAAAGATACATATTTTTTGCTATTTGGATAGGTATGCATATCGTCGCCTAAGGGTGAAAAGGTTGCAACCCCTTTTTTTTAATTGCTCAGAAGGGACGAGAAATCGATGTAGTTTCGGATTACCTGCCATTCTGCATCAAAAACTAAATTTTGAAAAAAAATGGACTTGTCACCTTTTCACCTTTAGCGATGAAAAATAACTCCAATAACTCTATTTCTACTCCCCTGTTGTAAATTTTGTATAATGCACATTATTTGTGGGTGCTTGCATAATGAACTTCATATTACTCCTGCTACTGCTACGTTCTTTCTAACTTCAAAGCAGCTTTCATTAAAAAGAGCCAACAGCACCGCACACAAGCTTTCAGTTTCCAATTTCATAACTTCTACGAAATCATTTCATAATATCGAACAGTACTTTCTTCGAAAGAGCAGCTGCAGCTGAATGCCAGCATCAAGTTTGTGGCTTAAGTCTTTTGTTCTGTTAGAAAAATAAATGAGAGAATCGTTGGGCATTACATCACAAGTACACAATGCGCGTTATTACGAATATGTATTTTCAATATTTTTTCTAGTGACATACATATATGTATATACTTATTACATATTTCCCATAAAGGCTAAACAATTTACCGTTTAACTGCCAACCAAATGGAACTCACCAAAAAAGTCTTACTCATCAGTTTTTTTTTTTTTGCCTACTTGAACAACTCAATTTATTGTTGATTATTGTCAGTAACTTTCTCTTCGTCTCCGACTACTCAATTCCGCTGGTACATAATGCACGCTACTGTGTGTCACGTTAATTTTATGTTTTGCGTGCCTTTAGCGAATTTGTTCTTCCTTACTCGTGTGTGTACATTAGGGTGGTCCAAAAATTCATGTGAAAAAGTAAAGTCGAAAAATGCAATTGGGGATCAATAAAAAATACGTTAAGTATTAAAAAAATTGTTAAATAAGCGATTGGGAATTACTATTAAAAGACTCCTGAAGAGAACCTGAGTTTTCTGATCGAAAACATTGATTTTCAAGAATTCTATACCATTTCTACGAAAGTTGTTTTTTCCAATATAGAAGACATGGAAATATTTTTTGATTTCAAAATAAAATAAAATTGTGATCTAGGGGGCGAAAGCATTAAAATTCCGACTTTACTCATTTTGGGCCACCCTAATGTGCATACATATGTACATATGCGAACATGTTGTTGTCGCCTTTACCAATGCTTTCTTTATACACACGTTCGCAAACTAGTCACGAAGATGGCATAGTATGTGTGAAAGAACGAGCCGAGCCGTAAGTAGCAAAATGCAAAGTGACAAAAAAAAATTAGTTATGTATTTCCAACTTAACAGAAAATTATTACAAACGCATAAACAATATTTTTTGGCAAACATAAGTACGCTAACTTCATTCTCCTCGGCGACATTCCCAGCTTTTGAGTTGTCTTCGTTGTCGTTCGTTCACAACAATTTCGTGCCAATCATTTCAGCTGGGCTGCTCAAAAGTTGTTGGTTTGCTAGCTTCTTTGGTCGTCTTTTCATTTATCGTACATTTTCACTTATGATAACGGTTATGCACATCTAACGGTTTCCGACCGATACTCAAATTGGCGTTAAAATCAAAGGCATAAAAAAAGCGGCGCGAGGCAGCGGAAATTGTGAAGTCGCAAATTGGAAAGACAACAAACAAAACTATTAAAATAGAATTTATGTAAATATGGAAATATGAAAATGGTATAGAAATAGCAACAACAATGGTAGAAACGTGTGTTTATGAGTGGATTTTCGTGGCGTTTTGCGCTTATTCGGGATTAAGTGGGTTATGTTTGGGTTTAGAAATTAATGGTTAGAACGGTTGCTAGCTGAAAAAAAAATTGATTTGCATATCAAAATATTTAAGTGCACAATTACAGTGTAACAGAGAATAAGAAGTAATGAAATATTTTGTATGACTAACTCTTTTATATTTTCTACATTTTAAGCTTTATATTTTTAATATTCTTAATTTAGTACTTTCTTGTTCCCCATTTAGCAACTATATATAATTTTAAAATATTATCTTTTTTTATTTCAGTTCAATCGGGTAGAAATATACGACACTTGCCCTGCATTGTGCGAAAGTCGGGTCGCTCTGGCATTTGTATGTTCGCCATTGATTGTATCAAACAGAATGGCACACATTTGGGTACTTGCATTGATCGCTTCTATTTCGGTTCGTGTTGCCAACTGAAGGTAAGTTTGTTGCATTAATTTCAAGCACATATTTGTAAACAAAAGAATATATAAATTTGCAAGAGTTGCTAATTGCCTTTTAATTGCAGATTTTGAGAGGTTTTTTTTCAAAGTTAGGTATGACTTTGCCAATTGAATGATTTAAGGTATTAGAAAATGTTATAAATCAGGATGCTACAGGGTGGCAGTTCGCGCAATACAAGCTCAAAAGCGATACTTAAAAAAACTACAGTATTTTGAAAGGTTTGCTAAAATCAAGGCAATCATTTTAAAGAATGTTTATGTAAATTAAAAAATTTGTGTTTCTGTTGTGCTCACCAAAAGCAGAAGCTCAACACGGTCTGAAATAAGCTTGGTAAAGGACAGTTACCGATTGCTGTATGGGAGCCTTCTCTACAACAGTGCCGGGTGTCCTTGATACTCTATTACACATACCTTTACTTTAAATTTTTTTTTCATTGAAAGACCTCAAAGGCTGCATACAGCCTTATTATAAAGCGCTTTTGGTATGACACTGAGTGGGTAGATGTGGAAACAGAGATGTAGACACAAGTGTATATTCAATACCCCAGCATAGTATGTCACCATTACCTTTTCCTAGTAGATTTTACGATGTTGAGTTCCCTGCGACTGAGTGCTGGCTCAATGGCAATACAGAGCTCGGGCTTATACATTGAGGAATATGTAGTTATAGCTCCAAAACTGGGATTGGGATCTGGAGTCTACATCGAAGAGAGTGGTTAAAAGCTTCACTTCTATATTGGGGATAACGTTTTCTAAACCTAAAGTAATTGCAATTCTCAAGGCCATGGACATGGGGAAAACAAGTTTGGAGTTAGGAGCTTAAATGTCTTCAGCGACAGCCAAGTCGAATTGGGCTTGAGGCTATTGGCAAAGATGTGCCAAGATGATATAAATTCATAAAAAGTTCTATCAAAATTATCGAGACGACTGAGGCTGGGTGGACTTAGTTAGCTTCGTATCTTTTAAAACTTTTGCTTTTAGTCACAATAAAACAAGTGGCTCTAATTGATTTCATAGAGAAATAGCAGCCATTAGTCATACTTAATGCTCATTACGCAGCAGTCTACCGTGGCAAGACCATGACTTCCTAGCTTAGAGGTTGTTCCGTTAAGTTAAGATACCCCTCACGAATTAAGATGTTATCTGATGAGATACGAGGTACCAGGTATCTCCACGTCGGTCCAAAAACATTTATCCCAGTACCCTCTTCAGTCAATGAATCATCAGTCGAACAAGTTACAATCGTTTGCTTTATCGGATATGTAGCGGATATGCCTGGCCAACTCTTTTTATTACTCATTGTTCCAGCTTTGGTATCTTGTTGAGCGACTTGATTGTTCCAAATTGTGAGTTCTAACGACCCGGATGATAAGTGCATAAATCAAATGAACTTTTGCCCACTGCAAAAAGAATTGTGATGGGGAAGAGCCTAGCAAAAGTCGCCGTGCTTGGCCGTTAGGACATAGTTTGGCTGAGACCCCAAAAAAATGTTCCAAAATTTGGCACAGTGCTATACTCCCATCAGACTAAAGCCCAACTTTCGAATTTGCTAATTTCATTAGCTTTACCCTAAACTACTAACCTTAGGCTACAATTTCTTAATTTTTATGTCGCTCTCGTATGCCGTATTCAGCCAAGATGCTTGCCAAGAAAACAATGAGAGAGTAGATATTAGATACTTTTGTATACAGAAGCATTTACTTAAGCCTCAATTCCTTTACGAGTTATACGACAGTTTGTCTCTCTACTTCCATAGTAATCCATAGTAATACTAGGTAGCCGAGGAGCAGCTGCGCGATTAAGGCACGAAAGCTTTATATATATATTTTGCAAATTTGGTATTTTTAGTGGCAACATTTATCTTCCTTTCCTAATATTTTGCTTATATTCATTTCACATTTTTCATATCAATTTGCTCACAGGACGACGCAGCACTTTTCGCGCCCGAAATTAGCGATAATAACATCGACCAGAACACAATTTCTCATTTCCCACACGAATCCACTACATTGCCCACCAGTACGCTGTTCAAGCTCACCACCTCCGATCCACACCACACAGTACAAAGTAGCAGCAACAGCATTAGCGAAACGGTAAAAAATGTCACACAAAGTTATTTGCAACAAAACAGTCACATTCATGGCAGCAGCAGCGGCAGCAGTAGCAGCGATAAGACAAACACCACTCCCGTCATCACGACAAGTAGCTTGAAGCCAATTAAACAGACCACAACAACAACTGCACCAAGGCGACCACCCGTACACACCACACACAAAACATCCCAATTTGTGGTGCGTACCACAGCCAAGCCAACTGTTGCGCCTACCACAATAAAGCCACCACGCCGCAAAACTACAATAGCGCGACCTGTACTCACCACCACGTCGGGAATACAGGCCGACTCACGCGTTGAAGTGACCACAGAGCCATCAAAATTTGTCACATTCCAAATAGTAGAGACTACGACAGCAGCGCCGACCGAGGCAAACAACAAATTAGATGCAGCATCCACCACAAAGCGTCCAATACTCACCACGAGTCGTTATCGGCCACGACCAACTACAACCGAACCACCTGCACAATACATAACAACAACACTTAAGCCAGCTGAGCCGGTTAGAATAACAACACGACCGAGACCTTTAATTACACGCCGACCAACTGCAACCAAGAAGCCCTCACAAAGTAAGCCACGTCCAACGGGTAGTTCGAAACCCACCAGACGTCCAGTGGATAGCGATGCCAATGAAGCGGTTAAACCCATTCTGCTGAATATAACTTCCACAGCAAGCGCACCGAGTGGCACAATACATCGACGTCCGACACCAACGACGCCAGCACCAACAATAAGTAATGACGAACTACCCACCGAAGTACAGAACACCCGAGTGCCTGCGCCTGCTGAAACGGTGGCACAGACGACACACGCGCCGAGACCGCGACCTAAACCTACAGCCGAGATTGTGAAGGTGCCCAAGCCAACAGCGGGGGTAGGACCTACAACGGTTTCACCGGCGCCAACAACTACAACGACAGCAGCCGTCATCACAAAGCGACCAAGCACTACGCAAGCGCCGCCCACAAGAACGAAACCAACAACAACAAGTACTACAACAACCACCACAACAACAACAACTACGGCGAAACCACAAAGGAGTACCACAACAACTACAACCACAAGTGCACCCATTAGCAGCACCACACCACAGTCGGCAACACTCACCACAGAAGCTGCCAAAGTTGAGCCACCACTTGTTGAAATGACGACCCTAACGCCTGGTCTAATAACGTGGACGAATGTGGACAATGAACCGACCACCATGAATGCAACCGTTGAATGGGCACCAGAACCAACTATTCTTGAGCAGGAAATTAGCAATAAAACTACGGCAACGATGAGCGGAGCAAATGAAACATGTAAGTGGTTTAGTAGGAAATAGGTTATCTACAGGAGCCTCAACGGTATTCTACCATAAATAGTATTTAATTCAAAAGGAATAAAAAATAACTTCAAATATTATGATTTTTGTCTTTCTCACCAGCTTTTACAACAACACCGCCTGCCACCAGCACCCTCATATCCGTTTCGACCAGTATTAGCGAAGTAATGAGCAACATAACCTCAATAATGCCCAAGCCGGAACGTCCTTCATCGGTGGTGAGCACGCGACCGCCAAAGCCGAAGCCCACAAAAACAACAGAAAGTCCTGTACTTATTACAACGACAACACCAACACCAACTACAAGCACAACCACAACTACCACTACAACGACGCCAAAACCAACTACAACTAGTTCAACTACTACCACTTCAACTACAACTACAACAACATCAACGACGGAATCACCTATCGAATTGGTGGATATTTCTTCTACGACGAGTGCCGAATTCAGCACAGAAGGTTTCTCTACAACAGGCACTGGCATTTTTGGCACCACAGAGTACAGCACCGAAGATTTTAATAGCACACTGATGACAACGACATCGGCGCCGGCTAATACCCTGGAAGGCATGGATTACCGGCAAAGTGAGTGTTTATGGCAATCTGAAACTATTTATCTTTAATAAAGGATATCTTTGTTGAAGTTTTATTTTTTAAGTAATTAGTTAAAATTTTGCTGAGCTATTCAAGTACGGCGGCGAGGAGTTGATAAGGTGCATGCATCAACTCTTGTGCAGAATATGGTCAGATGAACGCATGCCCGACGACTGGAATTTAAGTGTGCTCTGCCCAATCCACAAGAAAGGTGACCCCGCCATTCGCGCCAACTACCGCGGGATCAGCCTTCTAAGCATAGGTTACAAGGTCTTATCGAGCGTATTGTGCGAAAGACTGAAGCCCACCGTCAATGAACTGATTGGGCCTTATCAGTGTGGCTTTAGACCTGGCAAATCCACCATAGACCAGGTATTCACAATACGCCAAATCTTGGAAAAGACCCGCGAGAAAAGGATCGACACTCACCACCTCTTTGTCGACTTTAAAGCCGCTTTTGACAGCACTAAAAGGAGTTGCCTATACGCCGCTATGTCTGAATTTGGCATCCCCTCAAAACTCATACGGCTGTGTAAAATGACGTTGAGCAATACCACCAGCTCCGTCAGAATTGGAAAAGACCTCTCCGAGCCGTTCGCCACAAAACGGGGTTTCAGACAGGGCGACTCCCTTTCATGTGACTTCTTTAATCTGATGTTGGAGAAGATAATAAGAGCTGCAGAACTGAACCGCTCAGGAACAATTTACTACAATAGCGTGCAATTGCTGGCTTATGCCGATGACATCGACATCATCGGTAACAAAAACCGCGAAGTCTGTTCTGCCTTTTCCAAGTTGGATAGGGAAGCAAAGCGCATGGGTCTGGTGGTAAACGAGGACAAGACGAAGTATCTCCTGTCATCAAACAAACAGTCAGCACATTCGCGCCTTGGCACCCACGTCACTGTTGACAGTTACAATTTCGAGAAAGTAGAGAATTTCGTTTACTTGGGAACCAGCATTAACACCGATAATAATGTCAGCATTGAAATCCAACGTAGAATCACTCTTGCCAACAAGTGCTACTTTGGACTGAGTAGGCAATTCAGGAGTAAAGTCCTCTCTCGACGTACGAAAACCACGCTCTATAAGTCACTCATCATGCCCGTGCTGGTATATGGCGCAGAAGCATGGACAATGACAACATCCGATGAGGCGGCTCTTGGGGTGTTTGAGAGAAAGATTTTGCGGAAGATTTACGGTCCTTTACGCGTTGGCGACGGCGAGTACCGCAGACGATGGAACGATGAGCTGTATGAGCTTTACAACGACATGGACATAGTGCAGCGAATTAAAATACAGCGGCTCCGCTGGCTTGGCCATGTCGTTCGAATGGACACCGACGCTCCAGCTCTGAAAGTATTCAACTCGGAACCCGCTGGTGGTAGCAGAGGAAGAGGGAGGCCCCCACTGCGATGGAAAGATCAGGTGGAGAAGGACTTGGCTTCACTTGGCGTTTCCAATTGGCGTCAGTTGGCACAGAGGAGAAACGACTGGCGTGCTTTGCTGAACTCGGCCAAAATCGCTTAGGCGGTTACAGCGCCAAAAAAGAAGAAGAAGAAGTTAAAATTTTTAGCACATTATATTCATTGAGGCATACATATGTATATAGATACATTTCGTTAAATAGGTGAAGCAAAAAAAGTTCCTATTCCAATTTTATTAATGAAATTTATTTTTTTAATGATATTTAGAAGAGATTTTTTGAGCCCGATTTTTTTTTAATTTTTATGTTTTTGTATTACCTTTTTAATGGAAATTGCAGACAAGGAAGCAAATTTGAAAAATTTTGATCGCTAAAAATCTCCAGAAGAATAGCGGGCGGGGACCAGAAAATTTCTAAACATACGAAATTTATATTAGAGCGTAGTCTTAGTTTTAAGTTAAGTACATCGTAGTTTTAGTTTTAGCTTTGAATTAAAAATATGACTCGTAGCGTTCCGTCTTGCCTCTGTAACTTTTCAAATTGAACTCCCCGTCAGTGTCCGTTAATCCAAACTTCGTATTTCCTATCGTTCAGTTAGTGTTGTCGGGTTTTGATGCAGAGTTGCATTTCAGCAGGATCCCACATCCGGCCATCCTGAATTGTCATACTTTTAATTTAAGACGAATTCAAAAAATTATAAAAAGAAATCAGTGCATTGTGGAATAGTAATAGCAAATGAAAGGGATAAATCTATGGAATTTATAAAATTTAAAACTTTCAGTACACAAGGATGAATAAGCATTGAAAGTGTCCATTTAATTAGTTTTAATTTTTAAGCTTATAAAGTTGGAAGGACGAAATTCGAGGATGTGCTCGTGTGTCTGTTAGTCCATAACATGCAATTTTTTTTCAAAAATACTTATTTCAAATCTTCAAGGATATTCAAGGAATAAATTTTAAATAGACATATTCCATACCTATTAGTACTCTTGCATCAAAAAATTTATTTTTTTTAATTCTACAGAATTTTCTATTTTATTTCATATCATTATTCATTGCACTGAATTTTTAAAATAATTTTTTCAATTAACCATATTTTTGAAATTTTGGAGTCCTGTTGTTGTTTTTCTCACCTCTTCTTGGTCGAGTGTGTGTGCGTGAATTTCGACTTACTATTTTATTATTTTTCATTAAACACACCAATGTCGTCTCTTCCCATCTGTTACCAGATTTCTATCTTAACCCATTCTATTATTACATAACTTGTAACTTTGCTAAAGATTCTATGCTTTTACGCCATTGTCGCACAGCTTTTCTGAAATACTACTGCCTATTAAGACCTGATCAGTAGCAAAAAGTATTGCCCCATTAATCCATCTAAGCCCTCATGATCAAATAAATCGAATTGATATGTATTTATTGGACAAAAGGTTAACACAGTTGACTGCGTTAAACTGTTTCTGTATCAAAAGCCGATTATTAAAATAAGAAACAAAAAAGCAAAAACAGTAATGACACTGAAATTCATTTACACCATTACGAATGCGAATAACTCAGGCTGACATTTGAGTGAGTCAAACGCTGCGACATGAAATTCGTGCGATGAGTGTGCCTTCGAACGCTCGCTGAACAGCTGCAATTGATAAACATACAAAACGACATTCTACTACATGCATGCATATGTACATACCTCTATACACACACATAATAAGTACCTACATACATATGAATGCACTTTGTCGAAGCAAAAAGCTTAAGACAGAAGGGTCACTGACTTCTTTGTCAGCCTTGATTTTCTACGCCATAGAACGGTTTGAAGGTCTACATCAAGGTCGAGCCCAACAATCGTGCTGCGCTTTAGTCTATTTACACAGACAAGCAGTTGCTATAAGCCTGCCGCATGCTGCATGCCGAATGTCAAAAGCGCTTGCTGTAAGATCAAGCGAACTTGTCGTCTACTGCGTTTACGTTTGCGTTTGCGTTTTTTGTTTGCTGCTGCAAATCGGGTTTTGTACCTCTACTTTTTTGCGCATTTCTGTTGCTGCTTCCGCTTGAGCCCTTTTGTGTTTAGCGGAGATGCAATGCACTTTGGTACTTTTGCTTGCTTGGCAGCGCCACTTTGTTGCAAGAAGTTGCAGCAACAACTGTAATAGGCATTCTTAAAGTGCAATCGATACGTTGATTGTTGCTGCTATTTATTGCTGACTTTGTTGGTAGCAAATTGCAGGTTGCGTTTATTTAACGACTCGTCTTCCACTGGCTTTGTTTTTTTTTTTTTTGTACTGACGGAGGCTTCTTTATTAGCCGCATTGTTGCTGTCATTTAGGCAATGTTTGGCACTGCAAGTGGAACTAGTTTTAGAAGTTGCACGCAAACAGAAAACAGAAAATTGGCGTTGAATAAAAAAATATAGGATTTCGTGCTGAGGTTGACTTAATTTTTTTCTCGTAGTTAACTGACCTAAACTGCGATATTTGCGAATTAACTTAGAGAGGAGTTTGGTGGTTGAAGAGCTGATTCACTGAACCAATTTTTTGTCAGTGAAACTTTGCCAAAGCGATGCTAAAACTCCGATTATACTTTTGACATAAAAAAGATTCCCATAAAACCGTTTTCGTTCGGAAGTGGCATCTTATCGACATCAAACTCTCAAGCCGCTGCAGGATGCATAGCGGCAAAGAGTCAGCGGTCCGAAACCAATCAGGGTTTTCGTTCTTTAATTTTTAAAAACGAATGTGGTTAGCGCCAACCCATTGTCAGAAGTACACATCATCATAAAGGCTGAATGTTTCCAAATTTTTAAACATGCCTGGTCGCGTACGTTCCTTCTAGCATTGCTCTTTGGTTTCATCATATCTTCCTTAAGACGGTAATTCACCTTCAGAATATGACAAGCTTTTCATTTATGGGAATGAACCCACTGAACCTGAGCATATTTCTTATAGCCATACCCTGTCAGTGTTGATGTCAGCCTTGCATTATTTTAGAGTGAATAGTGTTGTTAGTAGAGTCGACCATTACAGCTCTGACGCCTAACCTCATACAAAACATAATTTCGGTTGAAATTTCAGTCAAAATTCTGCACCTCTGAGTTGAATCAGGATCGGCAAAATTGCACTGTTAGAGCTCAAACCCTGGACACCAAAAAAAATCTCGCAGGTTTCCATAGAATCCTGAATTAACGTGAAAGCGCGGAGGCTGGGGGAAGGAGCAGTGAGCAAAGGTCTTCCGCCAAGAGCTCTCCATCAACCATTATGGAAACTCTTTCAATTTACCACAGTTTTTCTAAAGACATATGTAAGTCTTTCGTAAGACTATTATCAATTCTGGCAACTATGTGTCTAGAAAGTCCTTTTTTGTCCATTGTACGACTAATTAAAAGATTTTTGGACGAGGAGGCTGTTCTGTTTGTGTTTTATCAATAAGTTTTCTGACAACAAAATGAAATTTAAAAAATAGTTTTCTTAAAAAAAAACACTAAAAATAAAATAAAATTTTTTAAATATTTATTAAACTAAAATAGACTCCTAAAAAGTAAATGAATTGAAAAAATATTTTGCTTGTTAAAATAATATAATCTAAAAATTAAAAGAAAATTACATTAACAAAATAATAATTAAAAAAAGAAGAAAAAATTTATTTCTCAAAATTCGAATGACACACCGGTACTTTGCTCACTCGGCCATTGCGACTATTGATATAAAATTGCTTTCCATTAAAAGACCCTTGAAACAATATTATCGGGGCAGGGAATACGTAGGAGCGCCGCTGACCACTTGCGGTTCATACCTAAATAGATGGCAGTCAAGTCAGCTCAACGAAAATTGGGGCAAAACTACAACAGGCGGAATTGCAAAGTCCTCATGGTCCAGGGTGCATTGAAGGCGGTATGCTTACAAAATGGTGACTCTTTGTCCACTTCCTTTCCCTGGCATATACGCTTGAGTAATTTAAGCTGTCTTTGATTTATGATTTTGTTCTTGCCCACAACTTACGAGCCGCTTACTCATAGCAAATGGCTTAAATAAACCCTTTCCACAGCAGAAACTTAACTTGGCTGCCTAAGGATGACATCAATGGCAAGCAATTTTACATATTTTGATATCTCAATTCGAAATTAAAAACCATAACAACTGAATAGTAGGCACGTACCAACGAATTCACTAACAGCAGACATTAAAGAAAAATATAATATGGAATTGTGCCGTTGCCCTTCGTCCTGATCTTTCACGAACCGACTCTTAACCTTCAAAATTTCTCTGAATATCGTGTATCAGTTTTATTACTACTATTAGGTACTAATAAAAACAGCAAAGACTTAAAGAATTTTTACAACTTGCTTTTTACTAAAATGGTCCAATAAACCTTGACTTTGACCAGCCATGTTTTGGGCATTCTGCAGAGTCTTCGGCAAAATGCTATATTCAATCCAACAAAATGTTTGTAGTAGAAGCCAACCTGTTCAGCTTTAAAAGCACCTCCACGCCTTCCGCTCTGCATAGCTGCGCCCATGTAACTTGCTACAACGATGGCGTTTTATGCCGCTGCGTATAGCTGCAGCCATTAAATCAGCAATCCAACATCAACGCGCCTTTGATTGTCCACCGCGCACAGATTACACGGCTGTCTTGCATTTGAGTCGTTTGTCTTTTCTCTGCAAATAGCTGTATCCGCCACGTTCATTCAACATAAATACACACAGCTGGCGGTTGTTGGTCCGCATGCATCACGATAATTGCCTGGAAATACAAATCGGTCAGTCAGTCGCTGGTTCGCTTTGTTGCTTGGCATGTTGGTTGGTTGATTGGTTGATTGGTTGATTGGTTGACGATGGCGCATGCTCATCGCAGTTGTTGTAAAATTCAAAAAGGAGGTTATGGTCGGTGCTCGAAGCATTGGCTTAAATTGTATGCGTGAATGCAAAGCATGCGAAAATATGTACATATATGAATTGGAGGAATGTGTGTGTTACACGCACATTTGACCCGCAAGACTTGCCATTTCTGGCACACAGATCACCAACACTGCTGACACGCACTCACGCGGCGAAGAAATCTTTAGCAAAAATGCAAAAAATCACTGGCAACAAACATTCCTATACGGCTGACCACTGACGATGGCACATTTGCAAAGCAAATTAAAAAATTTCTTTTTCGTTTTTTTTTTTTGCATTCATTTTTTTTTTTACTTTTCGCTCCGCTCCTTCGCGCTAACTGTAAACCAGGCTACGACGGTGTTCTGTTGCTTGCGATCTTTAATGCTGCAGATAAGGTTAATTGATTATGAAAATGGCAACGGTTTGCCATGTGTTCGTTCGTTCTGTCTGGCTGTTCGTCGACACTTTGGCCTCTTCAGCTGCGCATGTAAAAACAAAAAAAAAACAGCTCTACAATGTGGAGGCATGTGGCATGCTGCTTGCATGTAGCATGTTGTCCACAGTCAGTAAAAGCATCAACTTAATCGTATTCACATGTGTACTTGCCAGTATATTTACATAAATTTGTAGGTATGTATGTAGATATGAGGAAAATGTTAAAAAGTATGCGAAGTGTTGGCTTACGCTTGTGGAAGCAGGTCAAATTGGAAGTGTTTAAAATTGCATTATCGTAAGCCATGCAGGAAAATGGACGCGTCCTGAGGCGGTATTCATCTTGGGTTTATAGCATCATTTACTCGTTCTGACTTGAAATATTTTATTTATGGATGAAAAATTTATTATGTGCTCTACATAGAACGCGATACTTTTCCTAATTTCATTCAGATTTCGCACCACTGAATAGGTATTCAAAGAAGTGGTTCGGCTGCGTCGAATAAATTGGCCGTAATGCGTGTTCTTATATTCTAAATAACTTATTTTATATTTCTTATTAGCTCTACATATATTTTAATCTTAGTCTTAATCTTAACCTTAATTTAATCTTAACTTTAATCTTGATCTTAATTTTAATCATAATCTTAGTGTGAATCATAATCTTAGTTTAATCTTGAACTTAATACTAATATTAATCTTAATCTAAATCTAAATCCAATCTGAATCTTAATTTTAATCATCATCTCAATCTTAATCCTATTATTAATGTTAATTTTAATCTTAGTCTTGATTTTAAATTTAATCTTAATCTTATAATTAATTTTAATCTTTATCTTAATCTTAATCTTAATATTGTCTTAATCTATACGTTATCTTAATCTTGATCTTAATCATAATCATTGTCTTAATGTCATCTTAATTTACTCTTAACCTTAACCTTAATCTAAATCTAAATCTTAATCTTGATCTGAATCTTAATCTTAGTCTTAATTTTAATCCTAATATTAATCTTACTTTCAATCTTAATATTAATCTTAATCAAAATCTTATACTTAATTTTAATATTAATCTTAGTCTTATTCTTACTCTTAATTTAATATTAACCTTAATCTTCATTTCAGCCTTAATCTTAATATTAAATATTAATCTTAATCCGAATCTTAATTGAAATTGTAATCTTAATTTTTATCTTAATCTTAATCCTAACCTTAATCTTAATTTTGACCTTGATCATCATCTTAATCTTGGTCCTGAACTTGATATTTAACATCATCTTAATCTTCGTCTTTATCGTCATCTCAGTCTTCATCTCCAACCGCTTCTTCTTCTTTATCTTCATCTATAAGCGTACCCTGATCTGTATCATTATCATTATCTTTACCTTCATCTTTATTTTCATATCCATTTTCATCTTCGTATTCATCTTCATCTTTATCTTTATCTTCACTCTCATCTTCTTCTAAATCTTCATCTCTTTTCTCCACCTTCATCTTCATATTCATATTCATCTTAAGCCTCATCTTCTCCTTAATTTCAATCTTAATATTTGGCTGTATTTTTATACAAAAAAAAAATAAATCGTTTTAAAAGTATAGTTCTTAGTTTTAATTGTTTTCTTAACGTTAAACGTTGCTTCCGAATTATTAAAATTTTAAAAACTTTTTTTTTACAGTTTGTGGTCGCCGCATGTTCCCCGAACCACGTGTTGTCGGCGGATCGAATGCCGCCTTCGGACGTTGGCCTTGGCAAATATCGCTGCGACAATGGCGCACATCAACTTATCTGCATAAATGTGGAGCAGCGTTGCTGAATGAAAATTGGGCCATCACAGCGGCGCACTGTGTGGAGAAGTAATGGCGTTTTGATTTCACTCAATGGAAGACATTTCTAATTACAAGGATTTTAATTTCTCTATTTTATTTTCAGTGTACCACCCTCCGACTTATTGCTGCGCATGGGCGAATATGATTTAGCGGAAGAAGAAGAGCCGTATGGCTATCAGGAACGACGCGTACAAATTGTGGCTTCGCACCCGCAATTCGATGCGAGAACTTTTGAGTACGATTTGGCGTTACTTAGGTGAGTGGTGGGAATGACGAAATGGGACGAAGTCAAGCCAAATTCAAATTTTACCAAACTGAAAGACTGCTTATTTCACAACGAAATTTCGTATACGGTTCCTAAGCACTTAGTGACATAGAAATTTGGATTTCGATATCGATAAATATATCATATATTATTATATCGACTACCACATCGTTAACGGTCTTATCTTTCTTGATTGGCACTAGTATACGCTTTTAAGCGATTTTGGCAGAATTCTACATAGCACTTCAGTCGTTCGTCCATCTGCTTGGATATCGATATCGTTACCGATCATTTGCATAATTATGTAGAAAATAATCGACAACCAAAAATCGATAAAACATCTATATTGATAAAACTTTCCTTTACTATCTAGAATGTTTTAGATATCAATGAGTAAATTTCGGTACTAATTTTTTTAAATAGAATCGAAAGCAATAAAGATACGATATTCTTAAATAATTCAAAAAAAAATATCGTTAATTATATACATTTCGGTTATTACCTCCAATACATATTATAGCGATAGTTGCGTATCTACCGATAACATACAAAATATAAGATTTCAATAAATAAGCTGATAGAAATTTAATTTTCGATAAATATAGGGATACAAATTATAGAGAAAAATATCGAAAAAGTCGATCAAAATATCCATGCCGTAAAAAACAAAGTATAGCTAATACGGATAAAGTACCGATAATTTTAATACAATCCATTGCACGACTTTCTATTTTTCAGATTCTATGAGCCAGTAGTCTTCCAGCCCAACATCATTCCAGTTTGTGTGCCTAACAGCGACATTGACTTTGTCGGCCAAACGGCCTTCGTTACCGGCTGGGGAAGACTCTATGAAAATGGTCCGCTGCCGAGTGTGTTGCAAGAGGTAGCTGTACCAGTGATCAACAACACCATCTGTGAATCGATGTATCGAGTGGCCGGTTTCATCGAACACATACCACACATCTTCATTTGTGCTGGCTGGAAGAAGGGCGGCTACGATTCCTGCGAAGGTAAGTTAACAAATTTGAAGAATATTTAATACCAGAAACTAACTTTCTCTCGCTTGCTTTCTTAAGGTGACTCCGGCGGTCCAATGGTGCTGCAACGTGAGGACGATAAGCGCTTCCAGCTGGGCGGTGTCATCTCGTGGGGTATCGGCTGCGCAGAAGCCAATCAACCAGGCGTGTACACGCGAATCTCTGAATTTAGAGATTGGATAAATCAAATTCTGCAATTCTAAGAAATGTATAAACGTTCGAGCAGACAGAGCAACTTTGTTATTGTTCTTGTAACTAGCGTAAAATTAGTTTTTGTATTACTCGTATTTAAATATTTGATTTATTTAGCGCACATTTGATCAAATAGCTATGTTTGTATGCACATACATATGTACGTACCTTCACATCGCCGCACACGCACACATACCCACATTCGCTATATTTAAATTGTTGAAGTATTTAACTCGCAATAAGTGGTAAAAGGTATTCAAAAAATAATTCAGTTAGTAAATTTTTACAAACATTTCAAAATACTGGTATACATATATACTACAAATATGAAAAGGATCATAGAGAAAAAACTCGTGCTTTGGTTATAATCCCCATTTGCTGGAACGCGCTTCACCATGTGCCCTCGCAGCTAACCATTTATAATCAAAGCAACGACTTGTATCAACTTGCACCTCCACAAAACGTTTCAGATCACGACCGCAAGAAGCATTTAAAGAAATAGTTTTAGTTAAAAATAATTAAAAAAAAAAACAAAAACAAATGTGATGTTTGCTGCAAAATATTCATTTAATCATAATTTTATGTCTTATGTCTCTTATAAAAAGTATATTGTTGACAAAATACAAATCAACCATCCAACCAATATTTGCGTGCATTTGTTAGCATTTTTCGATAAAAAAAAATATATATATTTTTTAAACATAATTTTACATGCATAGATACTTATTGTTTATTTGCGTTATTGTGCTAACTTTATGAGAATGGTGTACAATCAACGAATATGTTCATGAAATTTAAAAAAAAAAAAAAAAACAAAAAACAATCACTTAGTGTTATTCATATTTTGTATATATTTATAAATAGTTGTTAATAAATATCCCAATGCTGTATTTAAATAAAATTAATTTACTTGTAAGTCGATATTAAAATATTTAGCAATTTTTTTTTTTTTTTTTAATTTACTTAGTTATAAATATTCACATAATTTGCAATAATGTACTTTGTACTTTGTAATTTTATTATGCATGTAATTTGCACATTTTGAAAATGTTTTCTAAAAACATATTTCAGTCATAGTTCACATTCGTGTTATTTATTAATTAAATACTAAATTAATTTAAAAAATAAAAATTCGAAAAAAACACAAATCATTAGTTTGTAAGTTGAAAGGCTAAGTTTAAACGCATTTACTCATCAACGAATATTGTCTAAATTATTGCAAATAAAGTATAAAATAAAAATTTTAACATAAATATTTGTTGTATTTCACTTAAAATTCCAAAATGTAAATGGATATTTCTAATTAACTTGTCTCAAGCTGGTTCTACTAGAAAAGCAAGAAAAGCGGCTCTGCAGCTCAAGCAATTTCTTAACTAAAACCTGTCTTAATAGATTGAGCCTAGATCAGTGCTTCCTTAGCAAAAACTTAACTAACTAGTGATCTCGTATGGCATTGAAACGCCAAAATCATTGGTCAAGAAATTGCACAAAATAGGAGATATTTAAAAAAAAGTGGATATTGTGTTTGCATCAAACCAATTCAAAATGCCTCGCAAATTTGTAAATTAGTACTTTTCAATCAAAAACTTTTCACCTCTCCTTTTAATGTTTACTTTTCTTAACAGCTGGCAACCCTTCTACATGTAGTTTGGTTAGATACTGCAATAATTAATTTAACCTATTAAATTATTTGAATTTTTACAGCTGGCAGACTTTTTTCAAAAAAATAAGACCTTGGCTGAGTTTCAAATTTCACCGACGAAAATGTACAATATGCATTCGCACCACGTTCAAATTCCGAATTGGTACTTAGCTACACAAATTAACTAATACTAGTGTTCGCCCTGCGGTTAAAATTCAACCACTAGAATTAAGTGGAATTGAGGTGAGTTAAGGTGAGCTCAACTGAGTTGAGTTGAGTTGAGTTGATCTAAGGTGAGTAGAGATGAGTTTAGGTGAGGTGGGTTCAGGTGACTTGAGGTGAAACAAGGTTGATTAAGATGATTTGAGTTTAAGTGAGGTGAGGTTAATCGAGTTGAAACGAAATGAGCTGAGTTATGGTCTGATTATGCATACTTCGCATAACTTCGCACATCTTCGCATAAACTTCAAACTGTAATTTCTTCTGTACTTTGTATGTATTTTGTATGTATTCCATTACTCAGAGATTAGCAGAACTTTTAATAACTTAGCGATCTGTTGAGTTTAGATTTTGCTTCACATTTTCTTAAGATACATTTTTATTGCACTGGTACAAATGGTTGTGCGAAGTTATGCGAAGTATGCATAATCAGACCATTAGGGTGAACTGAGAGGAGTTGATGTGAGGTTACTTCAGGTGAGATGTGGAGAGTTGAGGTGATTTGGTGTGAGATGTAGTGAGTTGCGGCGAAATGAGTTGAACAACATAACACAACATAACATAACACATCTCATTCTTCAGTTTTATCCAAGAATGATAGTCTCCCTACATCGTGAGTTTTATCAATTTCTCTGTCTCTATTTTAATCTCTCTCACTCTCTATGTTTCTATCTTTGTCTCCACCGTTTTTTATATTTATGTTTATCTTTATATCTATCTTTTCAACTTTAACTCTATCTCTTATTTTCCCTTTATCCTGATCTTTATCTTCATTCTTTTCTTCATCTACGTACATTTCCCCCACCTTTGTCATAATATTAAGTATTTAAATCTATCTTTCTAACGCGCGCAATGAAGAAAATACGATCGTTCTCACGGCTAAATATTGGGCTACGTGACTGGAACGACCGTGATCTATTTCTGGTCAATAACGGTCGTTCCTGCAGATACTCTACAAACCTTGGAATATTTTTGTGCAAGAAAATATGATAAATAGTTAAAATCATTAGTTTAGATTAAACTCAGATTGATGTCGTTGCTCGCATATTATTAAGTAAAACACGCATACGTCAATCAGCGCCTAAATGCATACTAACATTTGTTTACACTCAAAAGGGAAATTTTAAAATGGTATTTCACACAATCAACGATCTTGAAGAGCTGGCGTCCGCCACAAAGTATGCCACGATTTAACGAAACAGCAAGCTGGCTAAACTAGCAATAAATAATCAATTGGTGGGTAAGAATTGCGCTAACTAAGCATGTATGACCTTATGTATGCTCACAAGCAAACATTCATATGTATGTAGGCATGGGCGTAGGAGCAGGGGGTGCTCGATCCCCCCCCATATTTCAAATTTTCCTTATATATATATAAAATAGTACCCTGAAATGCCAGCTTAATAGGGTCGAGCCCCCCCCCCCCTAAATTTCATTCTGGCTACGCCGATGTATGTAGGTGTGAAACAAAGGTCAGTGCCACTAGAAAAACCCGCAAACAGAGGATACAGCAAACAAAACAATAAAACAACTACCCCACCCACATTATAAGTATGTATGAACTATTTATTTATATTAAAACTAGCGGAAAAGGTAAAATAAATAAAAGCAAAAGTGAGAAGCGACTAAATATTTGACGAACGTGAAAAGTGAAAAAGTACATTCATTTGCTATTATTTACCTTAATTTTTAAAAACAAACATAAATAAGTGGATGTCACTACATCGACCAGCTTCACAATATTAAAATTCAGTGCGTACCTCGCGCTAACGCATGGCCCTGGCTGTGTGTCAATTGACAGCTACCGAATAATTTGTAGTTAGAGAGCCCATTGCAATGCGGGAAACTGCGTTCGCTTCTGCTTTGTGGGTAAAAGAAACAGGACGAAGGGAGCGTTATTTGAACTGCATATGTGAAGAAGAAAAAAAAAACATAAAAATATAGCAATGAGTGGTGAAAAGAAGCTCGGTTGGATTTCTTTGAAAAAGGGTACCTTGTATATAAATATTTAAATATTCAGAGAAATGAGTACATGATTCAAATACGAGTAGGCGCATCACAGCCTATGTATTGTGAATTTAAAATAGTTTTCTCGGTATTCCCATATGGCGTATGGGATGCCAAAAATGCTACATATAAAAATAGAAAAAAATAGATAAAAGTGAAATGTATCTTTTGTACACGTTTTACTTGCTTATAATTCAATTTCACCAAGCCTCGACGGCAGAGCCCAACTAACAATTTTCATCTCGTAAGACTCTACAAGCATCTTATGAGTGGATACGCAATTGGTTTACGAGAATAGTACCCTTATAATTTCACCCTGGTAGAGTACTACGAGTACTTTATGAATACGTTGTCAGAATGAAATGGCGCACTTATGAGAGTTATTTTTGTCTTATAAAAATACGATAGCTCTCTTTGTAAGAGATACGTAAGTTTCATAAAAAACTATTTGAATTTTTTTGAGAGTATATATCCACTCTCATAATGGTGTCATAATAATTAACATAACTTTGGTGGTGTTATTTTTGTAGAGTAAAGGTAATTTCAGCAGAATTAAGTCATAGCAAATCGATGTTACATTTTCGATGGCAGAAATTAAAGTAGATTAGAATTTTATATAATTATTATAGACTTTCAGAAGTCATTTTTCGAAATTATAAGCTAAGATTTTATGGGGATTGAAATTTTATCGCTAATAATGAACATTTTACTTCGAAAAAAAGTAAGCGCCTCAAAAATATTCAAAATTTGAATTATTTTGTAAATTATTATTTAATATGAAAAAAATGTAATGCTTCAGTCCTGCTCAATATTTGAATTCAAATTCATGTATCAGCACTTATTACCTAAAAAGCGTAATTTTTTATATTTTTTACATACTAAACTGCGTAAGTTAGCTACATTTTTGGAATTTTATTTTACTATAAAACCTTCAGAATAAGGAAAACATGCACTTGTTTGCAAATTGATGACGAAATGATTTTTTATGGAAAAGCATTTATGCCCCTATATTTGAATAAAATAAACGTACTTAGAAGATATCAACCAATACTTCCCATATACCAAACAAAAGAAAAGCACCTGAATTTTTGATTAAAGAAAACAAAAACAAAATCATTCGAGCGGTTTTCGAGCATTTTGCCTTTAAATGCTCGATATATCTTGAATTTACATAAAATTTGTACACGATAATAT